CTCAATCCTCAAAACTGCCTCATGGGTACTACAATGAAGTTGTAGATAAGAAAGCAGCTGGGCACACACACAATGTAGCCTGATGTCTGCTGAGGTCACCCCAGTGTGGTGTGTAGAAGATACAAAGACAGGTATCCCATCCCTCCAAGTGCCAACATGTGCAGCTGGGGTGATTTCTATTGCTGAAGTCAGCTTGTAATTCCATGGAGACATGCCAGAAGACAAAGACCAAGGTACTGTGAACCCAGTGCAGACAGCAATGCTGCTAAGTGCTCTGGTTGGTCTGGCAGAGTCACCTTAATTTGGAGCTCACTGAACATGTGGTTACTTTAGATGTAACTGTTCTGTTGAAAACTTTGGTCTTTGTGGCCAGACATGCAGGAATTTTGTTTGCATCATCTACTAAGTAAAACTTAACACTGTTTCATAGCTTCCTTAGGCTGGGAACTGGGAGCAAGTAATTTGTGGCTCTGATTTAGGATCTCTCAGAACATAAGGTCAAGATGTGAGGCCAGGGCTGAACCCATCTGCAGGCTCGCTTGGGACTAGAGGATCCACTCCAAATTCAAGTGAAGCCTTACTTCCTCACTGTGTGGCCACCATGATTAGTCTTTGCACAAGCTGATTACCTGAGGGCAGAGGTAATTGCCAGAGGGAATTTCAACAGAAGGGAGAAGTGCAAGCCACCATGTTTTGTGACCCACCTCAGTCAGATGTCATGGTCTGTCATCACAAAGAGAATTGGGACTCTAGGAGTGAGTGAAGGAAGGTAGCACTCTTGTCATTTAAAAATACATATCACACGCCATTTTTTGTTCATTCCCAAGATCTTGTATTAATAACACCATATAAAACATAAATAACTTTACAAGTTCCATAGCCTTTAAAACGTTCCATGACTTATAAGTTCCATGTCTTTAAAATATTCATAGTCTCTGAAATTTAAAAGTTTCTCTAAAATACCCAAGGTCTCATAACTGGGGGTTCCCATAAGAATCAAAACAATGGGCTGGAGAGAGCACTCACTGTTCTTCCAGAGGTCCTAAGTTCAATTCTCAGCAACCACATGGTGGCTCACAACCATCCGTTATGAGATCTGGTGCCTTCTAGTGTACAGAAATACATGGAAGCAGAATGTTGTATACATAAATAAATAAAATATTTTAAAAGAATCCAAACAACAAAAAGTGTTTTTGATTCCCACAGGGAAGGACCAGGGCACAGTCACAAATCATAGCAAAACCAAAGTGTAAAGCTCAGTGTCTGACTTCTGGGATAGTCTTCTGAACTTTAAAGGCCTTGAGGACTCCACCTTCAACAAATGATGCTGGGAAGGGGACATCTATGTGTAAGAAAATGAAATTAGATCACTCTCTTGCCGTCAACAAAAACCAGCTCAAAATGGATCAAAGACTTTAAAACCTGAACATTTCATATTGCTAGATAAAACCCTTCAAGATCTAGGCACAGACAAAAACTTTCTGAAAGACTCCAATAATCCATGAAACAACAGGAATGACAGATGGATTGGCACAAAATTAAAAAGCTCCTGTATAGCAAAAGAAAGAAAAGTGAAGAGACAGCCGAGAGTGGAGAAAAATCTTTCCAACTGTACATCTGACAGATTAATATCTAGCATCTATAAAGAACCCCCAAAAAAACAGATACAAAACCTCCACCCCACACAAATCATTCAATCATAATTGAGCAAATGAATTAAATATACAGTTCTCAAAAGAATAAATCCAGGGTGTAGGGAAGACACTGTAACCACGCCTCCTAAGGGCTGGCTACAGGTGTGCTTGACCATGCCTGTCAGGGTGTGGTCAAGGGGAGGTCAGGATAGGTTCAGGGCTGCAGACACATGGGGGCCCGCTCTCTCTCTGTCCTCCCTGCCTTGCTGCCTCCGGGCACGCTCTGGCTTGTGCTTCGCTGGTGTATCTGAATAAAGAAAACCTATATCCTATTGACGGGTGGTCGATCTCTACAGGGCAGGTGAGATGGCTGGGCAGGTAAAAGTGCTTTCCATTAAGCATGAAGATGGGAGTTCTATCTGTGGAAGAGAGAGCCTATTCCATAGATTATTCTGACCTACACATGCACACCAATGCCCTAGTGCATCCACACACACATCAAATAATGTAGTACAAAACACCAATGACCAGTAAATACATGAAAAATTTCAACATCCCCACACACACACACACACACACACACACACACACACACACACCATACATTGAGATTCTATCAGCCAGAAGACTTAATAGAATCAACAACCAAACAAAAATTGCTGGAGGTAAACCAGTGCAGTTACCTTGGATATAAATATGGAAGTTCTTTAAAAAATTAAAACTATAACCACCATATGATCAAGCTAGAGCACGCCTGGGTTTGCATCTGACGGAATCTAAGTCTACAACAGAGATACCCATGCATCTGTGTTTATTGTAGCACTGTTCACTACAGTCAAGATATGGTATTAGTTTAGACGTCCATCAGCAGATGAATGGATAAAGGAAATGTGGTAAATAATTATAGTGCTGTATTATTCATCCACAGAGAAGCATGAAACTATGTCCTTGGCAGGGAATTTGATAAAACTAGAGGTTATCGTGTTAACATGAAAAAGCTGGGCACTTGCTGGAGAGATGGTTCAGTGGTTAAGAACACTGGCTACTCATGCAGATGACCTGTGTACATGTAGGCACATACACTCACACACACAGAACAAAAAGAAGCCAGACTCAGAAGGGAGTGAGTGAGTAAGGGGATGGGAGGAAATTTGTTTAGTGGAGAAGTGGGGCATGAGAAGGTATGAGTACAGTATATAGACTATGAAAACACCATCCTGAACCCCAGTGTTTCCTATATAAAATAGTAATGAAAAAATGTCCAAGGTCCCTGGTGTTTCTGTTACCATTGTTACTTTTCACAGGGCTGATTCTGATCTGTGTAGGCTGTTTTACACCCTCTCCTGTTTATGTGTGAGCCGTGTGCTCTGTTCTCTGCCAGTGTTCCCCAGCTGTGTCTCAAGTGCACGCTTGATTTGTTCCATGTTTTCCTTTGCATTGTTGGCACTAACCAGTGGGTGAGCTCAGTTGTGCCTTGTCTTTATGCCAGAAGTTCCCCAGAAAACTTTCCAAGTCTCTATGGAGAAGAGTGCTAATGGACATTCCAGACTGCACAGGGCATGGCCTAAAGAAAGTCTCAGGGCTCTAAGAACCTGGGTAAAGGCTCTAGGTGACATGGGGACTATATGCAGACCCACCATCTCCTCCTACCATGGCCGCAGGCAGTCTTCAGGTCTCCGCGGATTCCAGTCTCTTCCATCAGGAGCCTGACCTCTAAAATGTTTTTCAATTTTATTTTACGTGTATGGGTGTTTGGTTTACACAAACATCTGTGCACCACATGTATGCCTGGTACCCACAGAGGTACAAAGTGAGTGTCAGAGCTCCTGGGACTGGAGTTAACAGTTGCAAGTAGCCATGTTGAGTGTTGGGAATGGAACCCGTGTCCTTAGGAAAAACAGGTCTATGCTCTTACCCACTGAGCCATCTCTTCAGGCCCCTCTCCATGTTTTGACCCTGTCACACTGCTTCACTGACACCATGCTCCTCCACGCTTAGCTCATCCCTTCTCTTGAAATGCAGACATACCCCAAACTTTCCACCTCAGCCCTTAACTAGTATTACCTGCTAAATACTCTGCATAGACCAGGGTGGACTGTGGGAGTAGAAATGGGGTATGACCCCCTCTATGGCTCTTAATCCCTGGCACATTGTCTGGAAACACTTGAAATCCCCTCCATCAGCACAGGTCCCTGGGTAGCCCCAGAGGGAGAAAAAGACAACATACCCCCACCATTCCCGTGTGGCTCTCATCATTGTCTGTGGTTAGGGTATAAGTTAGCCTCTAATGCAGAAGCCCTCTTGGAGGAGGGGTGCTGGCCAACAGGACACTGGGCATATGGTATTGACTGGGGTAGGCTGTAGTTGGCAGCAAACATTGGGGTTTGAAATGCTGGTTTGCCGTGGGATGTCTCACATCCAAACATCTGTTGAAGCCCACCTAAATGGAGGACTCACAAGGCAGAGAGTGTGTGGAAGAGTGCGGTAGGCATGGTAGAGGAAGCTGGAAACACTGGCTGTGAGGGACAGCTACAGGCTGCCCTAGCAAGATACTACAGGGAAGAGACTAAGGCAGTCCAGCTTTGCCAGTTGAAGGAAGGGCACAGATAAAGACCAGGAACGCAAGGATGTGGTTGAAAGTGTGCTCCTCTGTACCTGTAATGGCACACAGAGCCATGGCAGATCGACACTAAGGATGGAATTCTAGGTGGGCACCACTCTATGCCGGTAACTGCTGGGAGTCACTTGATTTTGTACAGATCTGAGTGTCTGGAGGACACCCTGGGTACAGCGGGGACACCTGGAGCTGGAATCCATGCTCTGGGAGACCACAAAGGTGTCAACTTGCATTGTCAAAGAAATGAGCAGCCTAGATGAGTTGGTGGTGACAGACTTAAAAGCAGTCTTAGTGGGAACAAGTTGAAAGCAATTCTGCTGTTGAAGGAGGGCTGTGTGAACATCTTCAGGAGTGACCCCTCTGGATGGTGGCACCTGAGCCAGAGAGAGCAAAGCTGAGTGGAATACCCAGGACTCTTGGCCATGCCACCTGGTGGAACTAAGATCAGATGGCACCCTACCCCCAGCCTCCCATTATGTTTTAAATCTGAAAGTGCCTCCTACCCCCCAATCCAGGCTTAGATCTGGAACACTTGGCCGGCAGGTTATGGTGCTATTTTGAAGGCTATCAAACCTTTAGGAGGTAGGTGGTGGAAAAAGGTCCCTAAGGGACCTTGTATTTGCTTGCAGTTCTGGACTACTGTCTCTGCTGCGTAGTGCTGAGGAATCTCTGCAAGCCCCCACTGCCACTGACATCACCGTTCCTTCCCTGCTACGAAGGCCTAAAAAAACAGCCAAAGCAAATTATCCTTTGTTTCTGCTAGATTCTATTGCAGCAGTGAGAACAGTAACACCTCTCTTCTGTAAGGTGTCACGGCAGTTGTCCCCTCTGCCCCTGCTGGTTGTGAGAATGTTTCTCATTCTTGAATGGGATAGAGCCTCAGGTAGGCACCAGGCACATAATCTTGCAACAAAGGTGACCCTAAGTCATTTGGGGCGTATGACTAGAGGAAGCTATAGCTGCCTCTGCTGAGGGGAGATCCCTGAAAAGGAGGGAAGGTGAATTTCGTGTCTAGTGGTGGAGGTTTCAAGTTATTCATCTCACCTTTTCCTGGGACCATGTATGGAGTTGGCTGTGACTTGGCCTGGCAGTGGGTTGGGACGACATGCCATAGCATGCTGCTAAAGTTGGAGGCTGCGGAGTACCAGGTGGTCCCAGCTGTGGCCCTGTCACCAGCTTGTCTTTGAGAAGCCATAAAGAGTGGCTCCACTTGCTGCCCTGTGAACACGGAGCTTCCCTTTGTCAGCAGAGGTATCTAACCCCATAGCTTGCTGTGCCAGAGTTCAGTCTCAGCACCTCCCAATCAATCCCCCGCACCTCCCTTGCAGCCTGCTTGTGGAGGTCTGGGTGCTCCAGTGCTGAGCCAGAGGTGCGGTCAGAATTACAGAGTCAAAGTCCAGAATAAGGGCAACAAACAACCTCTTTAGGATCCTGAAGAGATCGTGCTCAGCCAAGGTCTGATGAGGTGATGAGAACAAGAGGCCACCTACTGACCCCTATTTTGGCCTCCAGGGTAGGTTCCCACCTGGCTCTTGATGTCGGTATATTGGGATAGGCTATGACCATGGTTCCCGTGACCAGTTGTCGTCTCTTCCAGTCTTACCCTCGGCAGCTGGATAGGTACAAAAGACAAGGTAGTGACAGGAAGGGAGGTAAGATCTGCAGAGTGGAGATTTAATGGGACAGTCACCATGGTTCCTGCTGCAGCGGCCCCAGGCTGAAGCCCACAGCCTGGGACAGGCATGGAGAGCACCAGTGGTACCCAAGTAGCCACAAGGACATGCTATTCCCTGTGCTTCTGGGGCCTGGACTCCAGGTGCAGACTGAGGCCTGCTTGGGAGGTTCGTCCTCTCCATCTGTCCCTATCCCTAACTGATGGAATGCCTGTGTCCTTGTTCCTCTGCCCTCTGTCCCTCCAGCAAGTCTAGCCCAGGGGCCACACACAGGGCCCAGCAGAAAAGCACAATCCCAGGACCATGCATCCTGGGCCTCTGGCATGTGTAAGGCACATTGTGGTTGCTGCTGTGGGACTGCTGGGGTCACTGTCCTCAGAACAGTGTTCAGCAGATGCTGGCTTCCAGGGTGAGGCATGGCTGTCAGTGTTGGGGCAGGAGGCATGGTGGGTATGAGCCAGCCCTGGGGCCTGCAGTGTAAGAGAGCAGGGACAGGGTGGGCCCTGGTCCATGGGCCTCAATGGACACAAGATCCTTTTCCCCATGCCCCTGACCTGGAGACAATGGGAGGGGCTTATGGTCCTGGGCAGAGCTCGTGGCCAGAGCCAAGGCGCAGTCATGGCAGCCAGGACCACAAAAGGCACAATCGTGGTGTCTGGGAGGTCGAGGGTCAGTCACCAAGGCTAGGCAGACACATTGACGTCCCTGAGAGAGATGGTGCTACTGGGGGCCTCATCCCCGAGCAGCAGGGCTGGCGAGTCTGGGTTCGTGTCTGCCTCCGCACTGCCCAGCTCTGTGCTGGTCTCTGCAGTGGGTTCAACACTGGGGCCTAGCCCCTGGGACAGGATCTGCTGGATGGTTCTGCGCAGGTTGGGATGCAGCCGGCCCTGTGTCTGGTAGAAGACCTCTAGCGCGAAGGACTTGAGGGCACCGGTGCAGAGGTCCTCATACAGCGGGATGGTGTACATGCGTGACATCTGTGGAGAGCGAGCACCCGGTCACACCAGTGGGCTCCTGTGGGAAGGCTTTCCACCACCCAGATCCAGATGCGCCCGCTGCTCAGGAGCACTTTGGCCTGGACTCACTCACGCTACAGGACCCTCAGCAGTTTCACCCTCACTGCTCCCTCCAGGGTGTCTCTGAGAGCTTGGCGCGGAAGGACTGGGCAAGAAATGGTGACGCTGACGTCTACCTGAGAAGCTTGGATGGCCTTTGTACCCAGACATGGAAGGTGATACCTCCAGGCCCGAAGTCCAGCTAGCTCAAGGCTGATGCCTGTGGCGATCCCTGGACTCTGTGGTGGAGTTCAGACCACTGTGAACTAGTTTTGCCGTCTTTCCCATCTCACCTGTATTGTGGCCTCTCTGCTCTCAACCTCGGGTGGGCCTGATGGCTTCTAGTTCCCTCTCCAGGATATGCCTGGCCTGTCTGAGTGGACAGTCTGATGGGGTGAGGTGGGTCCCGGAGGAGAGGCTGGGTCCCTCCCCCAGTCATGCCCCAGGCTCCATGCAGCTGCACCTGGCTCTCCAGGAAGCGGCGGACTCTGTGGAGATCGGGATAGTAGTCATTGCGGACGACGATCTGCAGCCAGCGGATGCGGATCTCAGCATTCATGGAGTCCAGCAGGGACGAGTAGCATTTGGACAGGCTCATCACCACATCTGTGGGGTGGTGGGCAGGTCAGGGCTGAGCAGGAGCCACACCCCTTCCCCAGGCTACCCTGTTGACTGCGGGACCCACCCTGGGGCAACGGGGATCCATCTAGCAGCCGGTCCAGAAACAGTGCTGTCTGGAAGGTCCTCCACTTGGAGATGTCAATGGCACTGGCTGAAGCTGCTGCTTGCTCCAGGGGCTCTGCAGTCCACAGCTGGAAGAGGGTCTCTACAGGCCGGGTTAGGCTGGACCCCTGAGACAGGTCTGGCTCAGCCAGTGGTGGGCCTGTGGCATTGAGCCAGCGCTCGAACTCCAGCCCTGCAGGAAGACCAGGCCTGGGGTCCCTGCCTGGGCTGGGGAAGGGCCACTGGAGCAGCCTGCCAGGGAGACTCCAAGCCCAGAGGGTATCCCTGGGCAGGTGGTCTCTTCCAGGACCCAGGGCCCTCAAAGAATATGAACAGTTCTCCTTAGAGCCTTTGGAGGGGGCTCCTATGAAGGACACAGGGAGGCTGGAAAGCTTGGGTTGGTCACCAGAGGAGAGCTACTTGCTACATGCCTGGCCTGTATCCAGCACTGAGGCCAAGAAGGCTCTGCACTGTAATGTTCAGTGAAGCACACAGACTCTGAGAACCCTTACCAATCCCACAGTGCACTGATATACCTTCCAAAATTCACGACTCCTGGACCTTGAAATCCTCTGGCAAACTTGATTTCTCTCTAGATACCCAGCTCCTTCAGTGTCTCCCTTGGTCCTCAAGCCCTCAGACCCCCACTATGCACAAGCAGGACCAGCCAGTCCCAGGGCCAGTCCTGCCACCTTGCTGATCCTTTTCTAGGAACTTTGCACACTCTTTCCACAGCCCTTTCCCACTGGCTGCTTGGCCCAGGGGCCACCTTGTCCGGGAAGCCTCTGTCCCCTCTCCTTTAGATTAGGAGGTGCAGACTCCTTTTACTCTCGTGATACCCTGACCTAGAGCATAGGGGTTGACAAACTTCCCTCCAGTCCCAACTGCCATCTTGTTCCCGGCCCGTGGGCCTGCAGCAGAGTGGGTGGCCTCACCTGCCCGGCAGTCCACGCTCTGCTCCTTCAGTTCGGGGAAGAAGCTCAAAAAGGAGTCCAGCAGGTCCTGGGCCACCACGCTGGTGAATTTGTATTTCTCCACATAGGCCTGTGAGATGAGGGGCATGGCCTTAGCAGGTATGGAAGGCTGGGGATGTTTAGCTCTGGCAGAGCGGGGCTGGCACACTGGGACATCTTCTAAAGATGTGCATCACAGTCCAGGTGGCCCATAGGCCCTGCTGAAAGGGCAGGAGGAGGAGGGGACAGTGCCTCAGAAGGCCAAGTCCCAATCCAGTCCCCAGGCCCCTTCTTCCCAGAGAAGGGCCATGTCTGCCAGCTGGAAGATGCTTTGGACAGGAGTGGCAGGGCCCATGTGCTTACTCGGAGAAAGTCATCAAAGCGCTGGGGATCCCCACAGAGCTGGGACAGGTAGTACACGAAGCAGTAGCCCTTCTCATAGGTGAACAGGTTCATCAGGTGGCTGGGATTCACTCCTGCAGGGAAATGCCTTGTCTGGGATGCCGCTTGACACCTGTGTCCTGCATGGTGGGGCTGGGGCAGTAGGTCTAGAACTGAGGAGCAGGCAAAGGGAGGGCCACAGTCCCTCACATGAGAACTAACATCCTGGGTACACAGTGATGGAGCTTGCTCTACACCACGACAGCCAGTGCTGAGACGCTGTGGGGTTGTGCCAAGCCAAGGGCACCTGAGAGGTTTTCTTTGGGGCTGTGGACACCCAGCCTGGCCTTGGAAGGAATTCAGGCATGGTGAGGTACAGGAGCCCCAGTAGGGCAAGTGACGGGCAGAAAGGAGGGCCTGGAGTAGAGAGTACCTGGTTCTAGCTTGACTTGCAACTTGCTAACTGGACTATCCTCCCCAAGAAGTCGCATCTGCCTATGCAGGGCATCCAGGCGGAAGGCTGTCTCTAGGCAGGTGAAGGCTGCCCCTGAGTGAAGTCAGAGCAGAGAAAAGGTGGAGGTCAGGGAGGAGGGAGTATCTGTAGCAGGGTTGCCACACTCTACCCACCACCTAACCCTAGAGACTGTAAGACACTGTCAAGCCGAAGGCTAGGCAGGGCTCTGTGCCCCTTGCAATTGGTGCCCCAGAGGACCCAAGGCTACTCCACCCTGCCATGGTTGCCCCAGACAATACCATAGGTCTCTGTGGTGATGCGGCGCTGTGCATAGGTGGCCAGGCCCTCACTCAGCCACATCTCCTCCCAAGTGGCATTGGTGACAGCATTGCCGAACCAGCTGTGGGCCACCTCGTGGATGACATCAATCACCAGGAACTCATCACTCTCAAGGATGGAGGAGATGATGAAGGTGAGGCACGGATTCTCCATGGCCACGATGGGGAAGGAGGGTGGCAGGAAAACGATGTCATATCTGTGCCCATGGGTGCAGGGTGAGGAATGGAAGGGCTCCGCCATGACTCACCAAGCACACAACTCTACTGTCCACCTGGGATGCCAGCCCAGCCCCACAGTATCATTTCCTCCCCAGGCGACAGAGGACAGGGAACCCAGGGTTAGACCAGGAGTTCCTGGTCTATCCCTACTTCTTTCTCTGAGGGGAAAGAGTAACGCCACTGGGAAAACCAGGGGACAGGACATACCTGCCCCACATGTATGGCCCATATAATCGCTCTGCGGCACTCAGCCACTGTTCCACAACACCCGATAGCTTGCTGGTGGCTGTGGGTAGGAGGCATGGCTCAGCCCACACACGGCTCCTGTCACAAGGCAGAGAAGGCGGGCTGAAGCGGACAAGCCTGGGCCTTACTTACTCCCTTGGATCCTCCTCCTGCCTTGTCTGGTCCTGCTCTGTAGTCGTGGCCCTTCCCACAACAGGTAGGGGAACTGCACCATAAACCCAAGGTCTATTCAGATCCTTTTGTCAATGATCTGAAGGAGCCAGTGAGGACAGAAGAGTGCAGCTGGCTGTGGGGTAGCCCTGGGAGTGATGACAGACTGCGGGCAGGGCACTGGACGGATCAGTTAGTTGTCTGAAGACAGCAGATGAAGAGGCGTGGTGGTCGTGCGCATGGGCTCTTGGCTCTTCCTGAGGCCCAGTTTCCCAGAACAGTGCAGCAGGGAGCACAGCGGGGCTTACCTGGGCCCAATGTCTGCTGGCTTGAGGTCTCCAGCCACAAGGGCGACGAGGTAGGCGGGTACAGGGTGATCCATGTGGAAGTGGTAGACGCCGTCTTCCTCCACATACACGCTTCGTGTCGCGCTCATCAGCACCTGTACCCCTAACGGGGCCTGCAATGGGCTAGGCTAAGGATTGGCAACCTACAAGATACCACCTCCCAGAAAAGGGAACCACACTTCTGAGGGATGACTTATCCCCAATAGGTCAGAGGACCTCTTATCTGTGACAGGGAACCATATGGCCCCATCAGGGACCACCACAACCCAGGTCGGGGAACCCCATGTCCATGATGAAGCCCTCAAATCCTTATCTGAAAGCTTCACAGGTTGAGTCAAGGAACGTGTTCCCTTCAGAGAACCACACACTGGAACCCCCAATCTGCTCCAGGTGGAGGCTGCCATTCTTTGGCTATAACTCAAGAAACCCCACCAGGTTCCTGCAGATCTAGAGGTTCTGGAACCCAACTGGCAAGAATGTCCTCATTGGTGCTGCCCCTGGTCCCTGCAGCCACCTGACCCCCTAAAAAGGCCTGTTTTTGGCTTCTCTGCAGGACTGTCCAACTAAGACAATGACCTTTAGCAGCTGGGATCCTAGTCTAGGCAAGCAAGAAGGGTACGAGGAGATAGGCCAGAGCTCAACTGCAGGCTTGCTGTAGGCTCCAGCCTCTTACAATGCCCAAAAGAAGCAGAAACAAGCCCAGCCTTGATGCTGACCTTGACAACGGCTGAGTAGGTGCACTTGACGGCCGGTGTATCAAAGCATGGGAAGAAGGAGCGGTTGCACACAGAGTGGCCCTGGGTGAAGACGAAAGGCTTGGCATTGCCATAGGTCAGCTCTGGGTCCAGCCACCAGATCTGCGGGCAAAGTGAAACATAAGCAGAGGTTGTCACCTGGTCCAGGGCTCTAGGTCTAGAGCCTGGGGACAAAGGGCTTTGGGAAGGGCCCTTGCTGTTTTTGTTACAGGCTCACAGCTGCTCCCGCAGCCTTCACCTGCCCACCTGGTACACTCATTCCCCTCCCCTGTCAGGAACTGTCAATCTAGTTTGTGTGTGCCCGACACCAACCAGACTTGTTCCAGACAGGAGGCCACATGTCTGGAGCTGGCCCATGACATCTCCCAGCACTGCCTGGGAAAAGAGGAAAATGCCCACCATGGCATTAGCTGAGCTTCCAAAGGAAAAGTGAGGAATGGTCAGAACACCTGGATGCGAATTCCCATAGGCTGGTAGCTTCCTTACACTGGGGACAGAGTGAAGGCTAGACATGAAACCCTGATATGATGGGAGTGTTAAGGACAGAGCCTCTGAGGCTGCAGTGGACAGCAATCCCCAGTATCTGCGGCCCTCTCAGGGCCAAGGTCGCTGGCCCAGCCAACCTCTTTCCCAGCCATGGCTGTGGAGATATTCGGAATCTTCAGATGTCCACACCAGGCCCCACCCCCACCAAGGAGCTCCGGCTACAAAGCAATGTCTGCCCCCACACTGCCCTCTGCTAGGACAACAGGAATGTTGAAACAAAGTGAATTTTTCATTTTGGTGATCAAGGGCATACAGGTCCTCTCAGGAATCACAGAGAGGAAACACTTCTCTGTGAGTGGACATGTGTGCAGTCAAGGTTGACTGTCATCATGGGGAACAGACACCCCCCCACACACAGCAGGGCTGACACCTCCCAGAGCCCAGACAAGAGATGGTGGTGGAGCCGCTTGTTCCACAGACTTCGCCTGCCCCACAGACCCCAGACCTTGTGTGTGAGGGAGCCATCCATCCCGCAGATCCCAGACCCAGAGCTGCTTTCAGACCTGCTTTCAGAGCTGTGTGGGACTGCCTGTCCCCACAGACCCCACATGTGGGGTATTGCCTGCCTACTGACTCTAGAGCTGAGGAAGGAGGTGAATGCTTGCTCACAGACCCCAGACTGGGGGTGGTGGCAGCAGAAACTATGCCACAGACCCTAGGATCTGGGGTGCTGTCTTCATATAGACAAATCCTAGAAGCCTTTCCCAAAGACTTGAGCCCTGAGGAGTAATGCCTCTTGCCCCACAGACCTAGGGGGTAGCCTAATCCACAGACCCCAGACCTGGGAGAGATTCCTGCCTCAACAGCTCTGGAAACAGAGGCCGGCCCCACAGACTCCACATCCAGGAGGCTGCCTGTCGACAGGTCACACACAGACTTGGGTGAGTTGTTTGCCACGTAGACCCGGTCAGGCCTCTGCCAGCACTCATGGTCCTCCTATCGCTGTCTTTTCCCCACAGCAAATCGGCAGATGTGCCTTCCTTTTCTGCTGGGGAGCTAGTTCCAAAATGTAGCCTCGAGAGGCCTGGGATCCAGGGACCTGAACGGAGGGTTGTCCCTGCAGTAGATCCTGTTGCCAGTGGGCTCTTGATTCACTTTGGAAGGACTCACCCCCAAGTGCTCTTTCATCTCCCCCTTCTCCCCTCACAGCAGCCACACTTCAGAGCAGCCCTCCCCACTCCTCTTCCTTGGAACCCTCAGGCCCTGCCTACCTCTTACCCTAAGGCTCACACCCATGCCTTGGCTCCAGTGAGCGGGCTGCCTTTTCCAGACACCAGTGTTAGGTACTACCTTAGAGGGACGAGCCTCAGAGGTGGGAATCTCCTGTCCCAGGGCAAAGCAGCTGATAGTCAGGTGGATAAGGAATGACTACCAACTCAGATACTGCTGGGCAGGGAAAACGCTGTTCTTGCTGGGTTGGGGTACAGAGGAGCCTTAGAACCCTCAGCACCTCCAATCTGCCGTCAGGGCCTCCTGGGAAACCTAGACGCCTCCTGCTACATCCTTCCTAGGCACAGGGCAGACAGGGATGTAAGCCCTGAGCTGCTCAATGCTCCAACAGTAGGTGCCTGAGGTTAGGGACCAATCTGCTTCCACGGGTGTGGATCAACTTTGTCACTCTGGAGCCACTCAGTGCATGAGGACCATGCAGCTCTTGCCTGTCTGGAGCAACCGCAACCCCATCCATCAGGCCACCCTTGTCCACTAGCCTTGTCTATTGAAGCCCACTGAGGGCTCTGTTCCCACCACTCTGCTGTCCACGGACAGAACAAGCACATACAGCACATATTCATAGGCAGAAGCCAGCAAGCAGCTCAACCCTCAGTTTTCACCTGGCGCACTAAGAAGCAGTCCTTATGCTGCAGAGGCCCTGCACTACCACAGCAGGCAGAGGGCGGAGCCCTGGAGACCAGCGGCCAGCACATGGCAGGGACTCCCGAGAAGGGTGCAGGTACGGGCAGCCCACAGACGTGAATCACATCTGGTCTTTTTCTGCCCAGATGTCACCTTGCTTCTTTGTGGCTCCTGGCTTGTTTATCTGGGCTCCCCAGGCAGTGGCAGATGGACTTTTCAAGGGCCCGGCAGAGCTGCCTGTGTGCTGTGTGTCCATGGTAGATGTCACATGAGCAGTCCACTACCTGGGGAGCTTCTCGAGTCAAAGGTCCTGCTCCATTCTTGCAAACCCACTGGCTGTGTGGCCATCACACAAGCCCTAGTCCTCTGCTTTTCCATCATGGCCTGTGGGATGGTGGGGGCCCTGGACAGAAAGCCTCAGTAGAGCCCTGTGTGGCTGGCGGTGGGAGGTGGGGCGCACCTACCCCAGCATGTCACAATCCAGCTCTGGGAGCCCACACCACAGCTACAGGGAAGGCCTCTCTGTCTCTCATTCCACCTCCAGACCCGGGTTTCCTCAAGCCATCTGAAGGCCCAGGTCACAGGTTGGCCCTTCTGTATCAGACATTCCCAGGACATCCTTCAAAGCTGGACTCTTACAGCTGGCTTAGCAGGGGCCCACCAGAAGCTGCTTTTGTACCCAGGTGGGGACATAACCCCTGACCGGAAGCCCCCCCTCCTCCAAGAAACATGCTATCGAGTATCTCCACTGTCCACCAGGCCTGGACCTGGGGCTTCACTCAAAGATCCCAAGAACTTGCAGGCAACATCTGAGAATAACCGATGGCACCCGGGGAAGACTCTTGGGCCAGGCTGCTCCTTACTCTCTGCACGTGTCCCAGAAGCAGGGTGCAGATTAATATCACCTGACCCAGCGGTAAGGCGAGGGGTGCCTGCAGAGCCCTGCTGACCACCCACAGGCCTGAGGCCCACCCGGGCGGGACTCACTGCGGGGGCGTCGGTCGAGGTGTAGCGCAGGATGACCTGGAAGGGGTGAACGGGTCCAACCTGAAGGCCAGGGGGCAGCCGGCGGACTCCGCGCCAGGAGCATCGGCGAAGGCGGGCAGCGGGGGACCCAACCCGGGGGCAGGGAAGGCGAAGGTGCAGGGCGAATCGGAGGCGGCGGCAGGG